GTGTAGTGTAGTGTAGTACGTGTGTGTGTGTGTGTGTGTGTAGTAGTAGTCGTGTGTGTGTGTGTGTGTGTGTGTGTGTGTGTGTGTGTGTGTGTGTGTGTAGTGTGTGTGTGTAGTAGTGTGTGTAGGTAGGTAGGTAGGTAGGTAGGTAGGTAGGTAGGTAGGTAGGTAGGTAGGTAGGTAGGTAGGTAGGTAGGTAGGTAGGTAGGTAGGTAGGTAGGTACCTTGACGATGAGGCTGGAGAACAGGAGGTTGGAGGAGGTGGAGATTTGGACGGACGCTCCGTAAGCATTTTCTCCCTGATTCTCCAGCCGGGCGAACACCACCACCCTCCTCCGACCGGCCTCCACCACGTGGAGCGAGCCTTGCGGCGCCCCCTGCTGGCTGCACAGAGACCAGGACGCCCCCTCCCTGGAGCCGCAGAACTGCCTTCAGGCACAACACGGAACATTAGCATTATAAAGAGTTCATTCATACAGTAGATAGATACATCAATTTAATGTGGTGTTCCACAGGGATATGTACTGGGACAACTTTGTTTTGGTCTGACTTGGATTCATATTGAAAAAGCAAATATTACAAATAAGTTAAAAAACATGAGTTGAACAACAAACAAATAACAAATTAATTAATTAATTAAAAATGTAATATACACATATCAGCAGTAGAAAGTTGTATCTCTAATATATAATATAAAATATACAGAAGTAAGAATACACAAATAAAAGGTGTTGTGAAATGGTTTTTATTAAAAATTCAAATACAATGAGGCAGAGTGAGTTTTATATGTGCAAGTTGTGCAAGGTTATGAAATTAAAAAAAACTATCTAAACTTTTTTTTAAATGACAAAAAAAGTTATAATAATAATGCATGTGTGTGTGTTTTTGCACTCACTGAGCGCTCATCAGGTCGGTGTGGCTGTGCAGGATGAGGTCGGGGACGCAGACATCTTCCTGCTCACAGCCGTTCCAGAAGGGGAGCTGCAATAAATTATGATATCGCATCAAAATAAAAATAAAATTCCATTAAAGCTTAACGTTGCCCAATATTACAAATCAACTGTACTGATGTAATTCTGTACAATCCTCATTAGGCAACATGCAAAGCAACACATTTTACATAATTGTTTTATTTTTTAAGAACCAACATTTTTGTTTTGTGACACAAGTGTTTGTAAACTTTTGACCACAACTGTCTAACTTTCTTAAAGAAGAAGCCTCCTCTGACAGTAATGACCCCTCACCTCGGCCCTCAGGACGTTCGGCCAATCAGGATCCAGCACCGGCCCGTCGTCCGGACTCTGCAGCCCCGTCTCCAGAAGCACCGCCAGGGGGCGCCCGTAATCTGCCGTCTCCTGCTCACAAAGACTCAGACTGGTTAAAGTTCAACTAGAGGGCTATTTGAACAATATATTAAAGAGCCATATCTATAAAAAAACATGTCTCTGAAGTGTCCTGCTCCAAACCCCAAACAGGTCCTTGTAGCCCCCCCCTCTCTTCCAGCTGTTACTAAGGACATGTCTCTGAAGTGTCCTGCTCCAAACCCCAAACAGATCCTTGTAGCCCCCCCCCCCTCTCTCTTCCAGCTGTTACTAAGGACATGTCTCTGAAGTGTCC